GAGCTGATTCCTCCTCCCAAACTGCTCCCACCACTGCCAGAGCCCAATCCCAACCCTCCAGAGCTGTGATCACCTCTAGACATGGAGCCTCTCCCACCTGAACTTCCTCCATACCCCGAGCCTCCTTCTCCTCCACCAATGCAGCCACCACTGCCATAACCGGATCCACCATAGCCTGAGCTTCCTCCTTCCCCACCACCAGACATGGAGCCTCTCCTGCCAGAGCCACCTCCATATCCTGAGCTCCCTCCATACCCTGAACCTCCTTCTCCTCCACCAATGCAGCCACCACTGCCATAACTGGATCCTCCATGACTAGAACTTCCTCCTTCTCCAGATATGGAGCCTCTCCTGCCAGAGCCACTCCATGTTCCAGAGCTCATTCCCCCACTGTGGGGACTGCAGCTGCCACTGCCAGACCCTGATCCGTACCCACCAGAGCTGTGACCACCTCCGGAGATGGAGCCTCTCCTGCCTGAGCTTTCTCCATACCCAGAGCTGATTCCTCCTCCACCAATGCAGCCACCAGTGCCATAACTGGATCCACCATAGCCTGAGCTTCCTCCTCCTTCCCCACCACCAGAGATGGAGCCTCTCCTGCCAGAGCTTCCTCCTCCGTACCCTGAGCCTCCTTCTCCCCCACAGATGGACCCACCACTACCATAGCTGGATCCTCCATGACCTGAACTTCCTCCACCTCCAGATATGGAGCCTCTCCTGCCAGAACTGCTCCAACCTCCAGAGCTCATTCCCCCACTGTGGGGGCTGCAGCTGCCAGAGCCTGATCCATATCCACCAGAGCTGTGACCACCTCCAGAGATGGAGCCTCTCCTGCCTGAGCTTCCTCCATACCCCGAGCCCCCTTCTCCTCCACCAATGCACCCAGAGCTTGATCCGCCGCTGCCTGAGCTTCCTCCATACCCAGAGCTGATTCCTCCTCCAGAACTGCTACCACCGCTTCCAGAGCCCGATCCCAACCCTCCAGAGCTGTGACCACCTCCAGACATGGAGCCTCTCCTACCAGAGCCACTCCATGTTCCGGAGCTCATTCCCCCACTGTGGGGACTGCAGCTGCCAGAGCCTGATCCATATCCACCAGAGCTGTGACCACCTCCAGACATGGAGCCTCTCCTGCCTGAGCTCCCTCCATACCCTGAACCTCCTTCTCCTCCACCAATGCAGCCACCACTGCCATAACTGGATCCACCATAGCCTGAGCTTCCTCCTCCTTCCCCACCTCCAGACATGGAGCCTCTCCTGCCAGAGCCACTCCAGCTTCCAGAGCTCATCCCTCTACTGTGGGCGCTGCAACTGCCACTGCCAGACCCAGATCTGTGACCACCAGAGCTCTGGCCACCTCCAGACATGGAGCCTCCACTGCTAGAGCTTCCTTGTCCTCCACCTCCAGACATGGAGCCTCCACTGCTAGAGCTTCCTTGTCCTCCACTTCCAGACATGGAGCCTCTCCTGCCACAGCTGCTCCCACCTCCTGAGCTCATCCCCCCACTTTGGGAGCTGCATCTGCTGCTACTGGAGCCAGATCCATGACCACCAGAGCTCTGGCCACCTCCAGACATGGAGCCTCCACTGCTAGAGCTTCCTTGTCCTCCACCTCCAGACATGGAGCCTCTCCTGCCACAGCTGCTCCCACCTCCAGAGCTCATCCCCCCACTTTGGGGGCTGCATCTGCCACTGCCAGAGCCAGATATGTGACCACCAGAGCTCTGGCCACCTCCAGACATGGAGCCTCCACTGCTAGAGCTTCCTTGTCCTCCACTTCCAGACATGGAGCCTCTCCTGCCACAGCTGCTCCCACCTCCTGAGCTCATCCCCCCACTTTGGGAGCTGCATCTGCTGCTACTGGAGCCAGATCCATGACCACCAGAGCTCTGGCCACCTCCAGACATGGAGCCTCCACTGCTAGAGCTTCCTTGTCCTCCACCTCCAGACATGGAGCCTCTCCTGCCACAGCTGCTCCCACCTCCAGAGCTCATCCCCCCACTTTGGGGGCTGCATCTGCCACTGCCAGAGCCAGATATGTGACCACCAGAGCTCTGGCCACCTCCAGACATGGAGCCTCCACTGCTAGAGCTTCCTTGTCCTCCACCTCCAGACATGGAGCCTCTCCTGCCACAGCTGCTCCCACCTCCTGAGCTCATCCCCCCACTGTGGGAGCTGCACCTCCCAGAGCTGGACCCCCATCCTCCAGCAGTCTGGCCACCTCCAGACATGGATCCCCCACCGCTAGAGCTTCCTTGTCCTCCACCTCCAGACATGGAGCCTCCCCTACCAGAGCTACTCCCTCCTCCAGAACTCATCCCCCCACGTTGGGGGCTGCATCTGCCACTGCCAGAGCCAGATATGTGACCACCAGAGCTCTGGCCACCTCCAGACATGGAACCTCTCCTGCCAGAACTGCTACCACCTCCAGAGCTCATGCCTCCACTTTGGGAGCTGCATCTACTGCTACTGGAGCCAGATCCCTGACCACCGGAGCTCTGCCCACCTCCAGACATGGAACCACAACTGCCAGAACTTCCTCCTCCAGATCCTGAGCCTTTTCCACCTCCGGACATGGAACCACCACCACCAGAGCTGGATCCCCACCCTCCAGAGCTGCTGCCTCCCTTGGACATGGAACCTCCACTGCCTGAGCTTCCTCCACCTCCACAGATGGAGCCTCCACTGCCAGAACTTCCTCCTCCTCCAGATCCTGAGCCTTTTCCTCCTCCGGACATGGACCCACCACCACCAGAGCTAGACCCCCACCCTCCAGAGCTGCTGCCACCCTTGGACATGGAACCTCCACTGCCAGAACTTCCTCCACCTCCACAGATGGAGCCTGCACTGCCTGAGCTTCCTCCTCCAGATCCTGAGCCTTTTCCACCTCCAGACATGGAACCACCACCAGAGCTGGATCCCCACCCTCCGGAGCTGCTGCCACCCTTGGACATGGAACCACCGCTGCCTGAGCTTCCTCCTCCAGATCCTGAGCCTTTTCCTCCTCCAGACATGGACCCACCGCCACCAGAGCTGGATCCCCACCCTCCAGAGCTGCTGCCACCCTTGGATATGGAGCCTCCACCACCTGAACTTCCTCCTCCACCACAGATGGAGCCTCCACTGCCAGAACTTCCTCCTCCAGATCCTGAGCCTTTTCCTCCTCCGGACATGGAACCACCACCACAAGAGCTGGACCCCCACCCTCCAGAGCTGCTGCCTCCCTTGGACATGGAACCACCACCACCAGAGCTGGATCCCCACCCTCCAGAGCTGCTGCCTCCCTTGGACATGGAACCACCACCACCAGAGCTGGACCCCCACCCTCCGGAGCTGCTGCCACCCTTGGACATGGAGCCTCCACTGCCAGAACTTCCTCCACCTCCGGACATGGAACCACAACTGCCAGAACTTCCTCCTCCAGATCCTGAGCCTTTTCCACCTCCAGACATGGACCCACCACCACCAGAGCTGGATCCCCACCCTCCGGAGCTGCTCCCTCCCTTGGACATGGAACCTCCACTGCCAGAACTTCCTCCTCCGGATCCTGAGCCTTTTCCTCCTCCGGACATGGAACCACCACCACCACCAGAGCTGGACCCCCACCCTCCGGAGCTGCCGCCTCCCTTCGACATAGAACCTCCACTGCCTGAGCTTCCTCCACCTCCACAGATGGAGCCTCCACTGCCAGAACTTCCTCCTCCTCCAGATCCTGAGCCTTTTCCTCCTCCGGACATGGAACCACCACCACCAGAGCTGGATCCCCACCCTCCAGAGCTGCTTCCTCCCTTGGACATGGAACCTCCACTGCCAGAACTTCCTCCTCCTCCACAGATGGAGCCTCCACTGCCAGAACTTCCTCCTCCAGATCCTGAGCCTTTTCCTCCTCCAGACATGGACCCACCGCCACCAGAGCTGGATCCCCACCCTCCGGAGCTGCTGCCACCCTTGGACATGGAGCCTCCACTGCCTGAGCTTCTCCCTCCTCCACATCCTGAGCCTTTTCCACCACCAGAGATGGAACCACCCCCACCTAAGCTGGATCCACCCCCTCCAGAGCTTCCACCTTTTCCCCCTCCAGTGACTGGCCCTTTCGTTCTGCTCCCACTGCTACCACCAGAACTCATTATCCCCTTCCCACTTTTTATGCCTCCAAAGACTCCAGAAGCTCTGGCATTGTGGTCAATGACACCTGCAAGAAATGGAAAATTACATTCAATTTATTCTTTTTACCCTCAAAAATTCTGAGCGGGGCTGATTTAAGCATCATCCTTCCTACCCTGGTGGTCATGGACTTGTCTTTGAAGGGGCCAACAAGAATCTCCCTTAGTAGACATCAACCTATGGAATATTTTCTCATTTTTCTGGGATTTTTAGCTTTTTTTTAAACATCTTTATGTCTTATTTCACCCATGAACACTCAGTGCAGCCTATTCTTTACAAAGGCCAAGACTGTGTTTCTCTCTCCTTCAGCTTCCTCAATTTTCCCACAAATTTTAGGACTATTTTTTATTTCCTTCCCTTCTGCCCTGCATCAAACAGACCTACAGGTTAAATGCAGTGTTTCACATTTCCTCCAAATTTATTAGGAATTAGCCAATAATTCTAAAGCCACTTGTTACATTAATGTGTAACACCACATTGTTGGGTGTGTTCACCAACTCCCCTTTGAATCCTTTCCTGAATTAAGATGGGAACTGGGATAGTTCGTTCCAATGGTGTCAAGACCACAAAGTAGGAACAGTTTCCTATGAAAAGCCCTGAGAAAATCCTTGGGATACTCACATATCGTGGCCGGTGATCCTTCCTGGATCCTGTGGAGGAAAAGCGACATTGAGGTAAGGCAGCCAATAAAATCAGAATTAAAATTCAGGTTAGGCTTTATCAGTGATCTGCAGAAAGGCAACTCCTCCCAGGCCCAGTGCATCCTAGAGATCCCAGTGACAGATCAATGGACATGCTGCTTTGTCTGGGTGTTTCACTCAGGATGGATTTTGCCCTCACCTGTTCTCCTCCTCCTCGAGGAGTGAGCGATACATGGCGATCTCAATGTCCAGGCCTAGCTTCACATTCAGGAGCTCCTGGTAATCACGGACAAGCTGAGAAAGGTCATCCTTGGCCTGTTGGAGGGCATTTTCCAGCTCCTCTAGCTTTTCCTGGCCATCCCTGATGGCCGAGCTCCCACGGTGCTCAGCATCTTTAATGGAGTCTTGGAGGCTGGAATTCTGCAGAAGGAACAAAGGGAACATGACCATGTCCCATCTGTGGGGAGGATTTTATAATAGAATAATGGAATATCCATTGTCAGGAGGGAACCACAGGAATCATCAAGTCCAACTCCTATCCCAGCACAGGAAAACCCCCAAATCCCACAATTTTCACACCCTCCTGGCATTCCTTGGAAATCAAAAGGCTTTTCTCAGTGACAGAACAGCAAAAATACATTGGACTGGGTAAATAAACACAATTAAACCCCATATAGGTCCCAAAAATCTAAATCTGCTTCAACTGGAAGAGAAGACTCCATCCCTAAGTTTGCCTCCAAACAACTGGCTGCTACATACTGCACTGAGATCCTATGGAAAAGGGGCTTAAGCCATTTAGGCCTGCTGTAAAGTATCAGCTTTACCCTTTTCCTTGCGATTTCAATTTCTGGTTGGAGTCTTTGGATGTGTCTGGCAAGTTCCTGGATTTCCTGGTGACTGTTCCTCAGCTGCTCTTGTTGACTCACCCACATGTTCTGCAGGTCCTGGTACTGATGGGAAGAGGACACAACACATTTTTGGCTTCTTTTCCAATGAGGAGATTTGTGTTCCTGTTCCCCTGGCGTGCACTCACCCTGCCCCGGTACATGGCATCCACTTCAGCCGTGCTCCTGTGGGCTATCCCCTCGTATTCCCGCCTGACCTCCTCGATGATCCCATCCATGTTCAAGTCCCTGTGGTTGTCCATGGACAGAACAACATCAACGTTCCCAGCAACCGTTTGCAGCTGGGACAGCTCCTGCAGGGAAAACCAGGTTAGGGATTTTAACAGTCCTTGTGGTCAGTCCAGGTCTTTATGAGGAAAAAAATGGGACCTTGTGGCGAATTTCCCACTGGAATTTCTCCACCTGCAGCCCCCAGGTACCACTGTACCCCCACCGCTTGTAATTTGCAAGGTCTTCTAGCCTTTGGGACACACCAGACCCTTTTTCACTCACAAAAGGCCAAGGATAATTAATTCTCCAAGCCAAAAAATCCCACCCAAGCAAAATTTCTGGGAATCTCCAGAGGGTGCGTCCTTCAAGACCTGAGGGTAAGATTTGAATCACTCACAGCTTCATATAAACACCGGAGGAACTCCAGCTCCTGCCTCAGGATATCCGCTCGGACATCAAACTCCATTTTTCCCATGTAGGCACTATCCAGTTCCTGTAAAAAAACCCCAAAAGTATTGTAATATATTTGCATGTTGTTGACCCAAATGCTCCACTGACGCGCAATTCTTGGGATATTTCCATAAAGCCTTCATTCCTGGGATCAAATAGTGGCCTAGAGATCTCAGATTTCATTTGAAAAGCAAGAGGAACAAAGGGAAAGTATTTAATATTAAAAAATTGGCTGGGAAATGAGTACTGCAGCTGCAGCAATAAATCTGTTCCTGGGGAACATGAGAAATGGGAAAACACAATTTTTATTCATACTTCTAGTAAAAGGTTGCCTAAATTTTCTCTTCACAGATAGTTTTATTTTTCTAAGCCATCTACAGATATTATTTAACTTAACGACAATATTCCACCTAGATTGGGATTGAGTGAATAGGGAAAAAATAGCACTTTTTAGATATTTGTCCTACAAAGGACTGATTCATTCTCTAGAGGAAATAATCCATCTTCAGTCCTGTCCTGGTTTTCATTTACTTTGGTTAAAATCTGACAAAGCTCAATAAAAACTTCAGCTTTTGAGAACCTTGGCAACCATCCAAATATGCTTTTATTTCCATGGCTTTGATTTGCTCAGGATCTTAGGTTAATTCACCTTTTTAAGCTCCACAAACTCCTCCTCCTTGGATGTGCGTTTGTTGATCTCATCCTCGAATCTGGGGGACAGAAGGAAGTAGATTATTATCTATTATCTATTATCTATTATCTATTATCTATTATCTATTATCTATTATTAATTAATCTATTTAATTAATCTATCCATTATCTTTAATTATTGATATTAATTGTTAAGTCAGGTGAACCAGTAAACAACAGAATCAACCAAAGACTGAATGTGTTGAGTTTTCATTTTACTTTAATTGCAATTTCTGGCAAGTGCCAGAAATTTTCTCCTCTGCAAAAAGAGGCACTAAAACAGCCTAAAAAATGGAGTCAGTACAGATCACTTCTAAATTTAGTAATTCTGAACTTAACTTTCCATTTTTCAGAGCTGTGGGTGAACATAAATTATCTAAGCCAGAAAAGGTGACAACTCTTCCCAACTTGACTCCAAGCTCATCTCTGTCCCTTCCCACCAGAGCCCCATGAGTGGAATCTTGGGTCACTCACTGCTAGGGGAGAGAAAGAAAAGGAAGAGTCTGGGAAGGAAAAAGGACGGGAGAGGTCATCACAAACTTTGGTTTTCCTCTCATTTTTGGGAGTTCAACCCTTACCAAACTCTTGCAGCATCAAAGTCAAGCCCCATAATGCACCTGAAGAAGAGCAGGGCTAACAAACTCCAAACTCCTGCAGACGTAAAGCTGAGCTTTGCCATCCAAGGGCACAATGAGCATCACCTAGGAAAATCCTAGCACCTGTTTTCCCAGATTTGTGACTATTCACCTGTTTTTATAATCCTCAACAAGCTGGAGCATGTTGTAGGCCTCAGGATCCAGCTGCTCCTTCTGGCTCTGGAGCATCTCGAGCTGCCGCTGCAGGTTGGTGATGTAGGCCTGGAAGAAGCTGTTGATGTTCCTGCTCTCCTCAGGGCCAGAGCTTTGCTGCTGCAGAAGTTCCCACTTGGCCAAGAGTGCTTGATTCTGCCGCTCCAGACACTGAACCTGAGAGGTGAAGCAGATCCAGAGGGGCTGCATGTCTCCAGAGGGCATCTCTGCCATGGAGACAGGCTGGGAGAGCTGGGGGTGCTCACCTGGAGAGCAGAAGGGAAAGGAGACCCTGGAGCCCCCTCCAGTGCCTAAAGGGGCTCCAGGAGAGCTGGAGAGAGACTGGGGACAAGAGCCTGGGGAGAAAAGACAAGGGGGAATGGCTTTCCACTGCCAGATGGCAGGGATAGATGCAATGTTGGGAAGAAATTCCTCCCAGAGAGGGTGGTGAGGCCCTGGAATGGATTTCCCAGAAGATGCTCCATTCCTGGAAGTGTCCAAGGCCAGATGGGATGGGGCAAGGAGCAGAGGGGTCTACTAGAATGTGTTCCTGCTCATGGCAGGAATTGGACGAGCTTTAAGGTCTCTCTCAATCCAAATCACTCCACAATTTCTATAATATTGACGAGGTGATAACCTGGACACCCAAAAGTTTAGGAGGGAAAGAAAAGTCACTGACATGCTAATTTTTCAGGACTATGGAACCTTAAACCTCCTCAGTGTAACCAACACGTCCTGTCCAGTGAAATAGGAAACCCTGAAGTCTCCACATGTAAAAGAGAGAAGCAGAAACAGAGACACCTCCCTGATACCAGCAGGATAGAAGAGCTTTTGTGGTGGGTTTGAGTAGATGCAGAAGAGAAGACAAAACTGGAGAGATGGAAAGTAATGAAAAAGCTGAAGATGGACCACCTGGTAGAGGGCAGGGCTTCCAAACCAAGAAGTGATTTGTTTAATAATTCAGAGAAATTGAATTCACTTGCAATTTCTGGTAAGTACAAACCCCTGCAAGAAAGGCACTAAACAGCCTGTTCTTGCAAGGTTTGGCTTTGCTTGAGAAAAAAAATATTAACTCATCAAGATGTCCAAGTCCCTTACCCATTTTTTCTGCTGGCATCAACAACCTCCAGGCACCGGAATACAGGAATATATATTCCCAGAAACTCCTTTCCTCAAAAGAGGAGTGAGTCTATGTGCCGGTGACATCTCAGCAGTTTACTGTCCTGCCACAAAAGACAACTCCAAGATCTTTAGCCCAAGGCAAAAAGTGATTCACAGAGCAGGGACCTATTGTGAGCTTCACAGCAGCATTGGGAATTCAGCCAGTGCTGGGATTTTTTGGGGGGAGAAGATGGAACATGAAGGTGTCCCCATGACTCACTCCTACCTTACACTTCCCCCTTTCCAGATAACAGCACAGAGACCAGGACTCACCTTCTCGATGAATGAAGCAAATTTGTTGTTGAGAGCTTTGATCTGCTCCCTCTCATCCGAGCGCACTCGCTGGAACTCGGGGTCCACCTGGAGCCGTATTGGCCTCAGCAAGTTGGTGTCCACATGGACCTCCTCAATGCCTCGGAGAACTCCAGCCTGCCCCAATCCCTGCCCAGCCCCTTGTACCCCTATGCCAAGGCCTCCTCCGAGTACCTCCCTGCCTGAACCTCCTCTGTAGGTGCCACCAAGCCCTGTTCCACCACTTTGAAAACCTCCCACAAAATATCCTCTTCCGCCAAAGCCCCTCTCAGGCTGTCTCCAGCCACCAAACCCAAGGCATCTCCCATATCTTACTCCTTGTCCTCCGTAGCCTCCATGAGTATAGACATTCCTGAACCCTCCAAGGTTGTGGAGGCTCCTGCTGCCATACCCATGGCCAAACCCTCCGAATCTCCCATCTCCACCACCCAAGGTCCCGCAGTGAGCAGAAGAAGAACTGAAACTCCTGTCCCCGTATCCAGAGAAATATCGTCTCATGGCAGCACTTCCAGGTGGGAGAGCTGATGTAGAAGGTGGTAAAACAGGAGGAGAAATGAGAATGAAGGATCCTCAGCTACTCCAGAGGAGTATGGAAGTTCTCCTTTATACGTTCTGGAGGAGCTCATCTCCATTCCGTAGTAATTAGCAGGTCTCTAATGTTGTTATTAGGTTTGGTTCATCAGGCAGCAATTAATGGCTGCCCAGAAAGGTCAGATAAACACTAGCACCAGTGGGGCAGTTATGAAATGCCCCAAATCCTGCCTGACTCATGAGCTTTGCTGACAGATCTCCTTATCTCATTAACCTCCATCCGTAATTACAGTTACCCCTGCTCATCCCCACAGCTCATTCTCTCCCATATTTCCCCACCTCTTTTGGTATTTCAAGGGGCACAAGACCTTGATTGTCCTTGGGGGTGTCTGACCCTTCACTGCATCACCAGAAGCACCTGCTGCACCCTTTGTTTCCCATTCCTGTCCTTCTCTCTTTCTCAGAATATCCCAGGAGCAACTTTTGCTTCTCACCGGGAGGATCCATTCCTCTCCCCATCCCTGTGCCAGACTCCACCTCTCCAGCACACAGTGGCTATGGACATATGGAAAAGCATTTGGGAGCCAAACCCCACTGCTGGCAGCACCACTTGGAAGCTCCAGCCTGGGTTAATTTCTTGAAAAGTCAACAAGATGTGGTTCCTACAAAACTACCTCTGGAACCACATCCCCACAGGAAGAACGTCCTCTCTGACCCTTACATGACTTAAGGAGGAGCTGGACTTCACCTGGCAGGATTCTCTTCCTCCCAAAGGAACTGGATGAAACCAGGCTGAGAATCCACTACACATAGAGGTTCTGTGGTCAGGGCTGTGCAATCCTGGCTCCATTTGGAAAGTGCCTCATAAACTCCCTAAATTAGGGGGTTGTAGCTGGAGGTTATTAAAACAGCTGGAATATCTCAAGGTGGACAAGACTTTGGATGCTCAGAGACTTTTCTCACCCGGAAACACAGTGTTTTCCAGGAAAACAGCTGAGAAATCCACTTTTCCCTACCAAAATCCTTACCTCACCTTACATCAGGAAAAGCGAAACTGGTATCTCAGATCTTCCTTCTGTGCTAATTTTGTAATTAAATTTTACTCATTAGCAACATTTCCTGAAGACATTCAACCATATTTCCAGCTGATTTCCCCCTTTTTATAAACCTGTATAAAAATCTGACTTGGATTGAGAATTCTGTCTCCTGCAGGAATTAATTACGATGAACATTTTAAAATGGTGCAATTAGCAGTATTTTAAAAGCAGGGGAGAGGGGAGGGAATTCCTGAAGGAGACTGGAAAGGTTGGAGCCAGGTGGGGTCTGACTCTTCTCCCAGGTTATGAGGAACAGAATGAGAGGAAATGGCCTCAAATGGTGCCAGGTTTAGGTTGGAAATTGGGGGAAATTCCTTCCTGGAAAAGGTTGTCCAGCCCCAGCACAGCTACCCAGGACAGGGGTGGAGTCCTCATCCCTGGAAGTGTCCAAGAAATGTGCGGATGTGGCACTTGGGGACACAGTCCGTGGTGGCCTTGGCAGTGCCAAGGAAATCATTGGACCTGATGATCCCAACCTAAATGATGCTGTGATTCAGAAGGGCTGGTGCTGGCTCCAGTGCGATTCCCCTCTCCACCCCTCCTCTTCCCACTTTGTAAGTGCCTCATTCCAGAGCTGCACTGGCAACACTCCAGGTAATCCCCGTGGATCATGGAAGGAAGTGTTGAGACCCCAGAGAGTGGAACACCTCTGAGAGACTGCCCATCCCAAAATCCTGCCCTGTGCAGCAGCTGAGGTGAACCAGGTGTGAATTCTGAGCTTTCTGTGGCAGCTGGAGCCCAGAGCCCGAGCAAAGAGAGCAGCCATCCCACCCCACGTGCCGTAACCAGAGTGTGGGCAGCTGTTGTGATCGCAGCTGACACCGGATCAGCCTTGGCAGCACATCCCAACCACACCTGGACCTGTCAAGCTGGCTCCAGAAACAGGGATGCATCCCAAGAGGTGTCCACGCATCCTGTGGATGAAAGGGGAGCTTCCTGTCATTCCCTCCTCTTTCTGACCCAGCTGGGACAAAGAGATCACAGGTTCATCCATGATCCATTCCAGGGAGATGGATTTTCCTGGGACCATGGTGGTACAACCACAGGGTCAACCTGTGTTGACTTGTCTTGGGATTTTAAGGATAAGTTTAAATTGCATCCCAAAACTTGATCCATTAAAATTGCCTGCCTGGGCACCTTGTGCAGCTGTTGGAGCAGGGACTGAGGGCCCCTGTGTTGTTCTGTCCATCCAAAGCAGTACCTGGAGTAGGTGGGGAAGGTAGGAAAGTTCCTCCCACCTGGAAAAGACTCTGAGATGGTGACACGGGTGTGACTTTTTGTGGACAATGAGGGAACCAGAAGAGCACCAGGATGGACATGCTGGAAACATCCAGAAATTTAAAGACAGACCTAAACTGGAGATTTTTGAGCACAACCTGCCAAACTCCATCAACCTCATCCACTTCTGTCCACCTTCAACTCAAACCCTAAAACGGACTAATAAATCCCAGTTCTCAGGCTGATGCTCAAGGATACACCTCAACATTCCCACAGGATCATCTAAATCAGCTCAAAATTAGGTCATGGAAAGGTCTGGGTTGGGAGGGACCTTAAAGCTCATCCAGTTCTGCCATGGACAGGGACACCTTCCACTATCCCAGGGAGCTCCAAGCCCTGTCCAACCTGGCCTTGAACACTTCCAGGAATGGAGCATCCTCTGGGAAATCCATTCCACCCTCTCTGGGAGGAATTTCTTCCCAACATTGCATCTATCCCTGCCATCTGGCAGTGGGAAGCCATTCCCCCTTGTCTTTTCTCCCCAGGCTCTTGTCCCCAGTCTCTCTCCAGCTCTCCTGGAGCCCCTTTAGGCACTGGAAGGGACTCCAGGGTCTCCCTTCCACCAGACCAGATTGCTCCAAGCCCCACCCAACCTGTTCATGAGCACCTCCAGACGAGGCAGCCATAAACTCTTCAGAAAATAGAAAGAACTAAAAGAAAAGGGAGGAAAAAAAGAACTACGGAAAACACAAAACCTAAAATTACTAAAATCCTGAGGGTGTCTTGGAAAACCAGATCCTAAATACAAATGAAGGATCTTTGCAAGCCCCACTGGCAGAACAGAGTGAATAAATAAGGATATCAATGCACTTCTGACTATTCAAGAAGTATGCAAGAGCCATACAGTAGCACATGAAGAAATACAGTATTTAAATTTAATAACTGCCCCAACGAAGGAGATAAATGAGCACGAGAGAGATCTTGATCTCCAGCTGCCATAGTTTCTGCATAATTAGGGCCCTCAGTCACTTGGAACTGGGGCTGGGATGACACAGACACACTCATAAAAATGCCTGTAGCCCGCAGACTTTCCTTTTCTCCCCCTCTCCCTCCCTGGAATAACCACAAACTCTCCCTGTGGTCAGTGAAGGACTTGGAGAAGGAAAAAAAAAGGAAAGAAATGTCAAAAAACCTTGTGTTTTTTGCAGAACAAGAAGTGAAACGTTGATACTCTCCCAAAGTTTATCCTATTCTAAGCCTGAGGTTTCCCAGATGCAAGAATATATATATTGTCCTAATGATACAGATAGTCCAAAGTGGATCCCACATTCTTCCTTTAGGGGACAGGGAGACCAGATGGAGTTTCCCTCACACAGACCTAGAGCTGGGTGACACTGGAAGCTGCTATTAAACCACAGGAAAAAAATCCACTATCAGGGAATTTTTTGGATTCTATGAATTCTCAACACTTTGTGATAAATAGTGAAGTTTTCTGGTGAGAAAACTAACTGGAGGGGGTCTGGGAAGGCTCTAAACGGGAGGGATTTGTCCTGTGCAGACAGGCAGAGCTCAGGTGGTTGGGAATGACTTTGGTGGGGGATATCTTCCTTCGCCTTTGTTGAACAGCAGTGTTTTATGGAAACGCTGTTGGAATTGTGGGATCCGGGGCAGGGAGGGAAAGGAGCAGTGCTGGGTGCTCCAGACAGGGCAGGTAAGGAGGAACAGGACCCATCACTGGGCTACTCCATCAGAAGCTGCTCCCAAACACGAATGGAAGGAAGCAGCCGGGGGATCACAGAATTCCAGAGCAGGAGGAATGACTCTGCTACCACAGAAGAATTTTATTTGGAGGGGAAGGAGGGCATGAGAAGATGAAGTGGAGATCAGGATTCTGGGGCAGCACGGAATAATCTGATAGAGGTTGGAATCGAGTCCAAGATGCAATGAGAGTGAGGGAAGCAGAGGAGATCGGTGTGGGAAGGGCTGGAAAGCCCTCAAAGAGCAGGAAGAGCTTCCCCAGAGGCAGAAACATCTGTGCAGGGACTGGCCACAACCTCTCCCTGTGCTCAGCAAAGGCAGGAAGGAAAATGCCAAAAACATGGTAATTTTTGCAGGAAAAAAAAAGGTGAAATGCCCTGATGAGAACTTTGAACTGGAATTTTGACTTTGAGAAGGCGAGAGGGAGCTTCCAGAGTGGATTCCACCAAGAGAGGGAAGGGAGGTCATCACCTCCAGGGTCAGACAGTCCTGGTGTTGTCCCTGAGGTAGGGGGTCTCTGGTGAGGCTCATTTAGGGACCAACGACCCAAAACCTGACTTTAATTTGCAATCCTCTTAACAAGGGTCTGATGGCTCTTTTAATCTCTTTTAATAAATGGTTCGTGACTTGCGGTTGACAGGAAGGTAAGACAATAATGTCCTCAATAACACCCTTGATATTAAATCACCAATTCAGAAAATAACAACATAATTATGATATCATTTTTATTATATCAGTTAATCTTCTCTTTCCCTGACAATAACGTGAAAGTTTATTAATTAAATTTAATATGATTTGTGAGTACACTGAAGTAATTTTTCTATTGCTGTTGTTATTATTAACAATAGTGGCGAGTGGACAAAGGACAAGCTCATTAATTTTTTTGCTTAACTG